GTTCACTGAATCAGGAGCCAGAGAAGGACAATTAGGTTTGGAGGATGGGATCAGCTTATACCTCAGTGCCTGCAGTGTAAGATGTTCCACCCACTGCTGGGAATACAGATGTGAAGCTTGGAGCACACACTGGATCTAAAGATGCTGAACCATAGGTCACTGGAGCCTGGGTAGGGTTTGCAGCAGAGGACCCTGGGTGGAAACCCTGTTACAAGGAAGAGTGGAAACTGGCAGCAGCGAGTGTCGTGGGGACACACGGAGGACAGAGTCAGAGGGCTGAGTTCTGGTCAGTGGACTGGAAGGAGCGCAGAAATGTTCCTGCTAGGTCCAGCCCAGGAAGCTCTACCCCTAGCCCAGCAATTCTTCTCTCCAGGGCTTGGCAGATTTCTTCTGCAAAGAAAGTCGTGTCCTGAGACTCTGTGAGCCTCACAATCATCACCCCCCTAACACAACCCAAGAACATCCATAAACAGTGTGTAAATGAATAAAAACCAGGTATGGTGGTGAGGGCTGTAACAGCGGCACTCAAGAGATGGAGGCAGGAGGATTAGAAGTTCAAAGTGATCCCTGGCTGCATAGCATGTTTCTCTCTCTCTCTCTCTCTCTCTCTCTCTCTCTCTCTCTCTCTCTCTCTCTCTCTCTCTGTCCCTCTCCCTTTATACTCTGTAGGGTCTTAGCTCCAGAGCTCAAGCTGGAGTAGTACTCTCTCTATAGCCCAAGGAGGCCTTGAACTTGTGGCCATTCTTCTGTCTTTTCTTTTCTTCCCTTTTTTTTTTAAACTTTATTTAACTTTATTTCATGCGCATTGGTATAATGATGTCAGATTCTCTTGAACTGGAGCTGTGAGCTGCCATGTGGGTGCTGGGAATTGAACCCAGGTCCACTGGAGGAACAGTCAGTGCTCTTAACCACTGAGCCATCTCACCAGCCCCCCCCTCCTTTTTTTTTTTTAATGAGAGGGTCTCACATGCTCATATTGGCTTGAACTCACAGCTGAGGCTGCAATGCTGTGTCTGGTCATCATGCCCAGTTTTATAGTCTCTTTTATATCAGTCACCTGGATTCTAAGGTCCAGATCTCATTTCCAGTCCAGGTGCTGGCTGACAACGGCAAAACCTCAGTAAATCTGATCACCGTGGTGGTTGAAATCCAGATCACTCAGCTTACCCACCCTTTAAAAAAAAAACACGACATTTTACTTATATTGCTTTTGTGTACCAGGGTGTGGGGTGCCTGTGGAGGTCAGAGGACAATTTGCAGGAATTAATTTCCTTCCACCATGTGGGTTCTGGGAGTGGGATTCAGGTCATCAGGCTTGGCAGCTAGCTAACTGGCTGGATCTCCTTTTTCAAAGTGAGATACAAACTCACATTGTGCCTGGCAACTGAAGATTCCTTTATAAGAGTTGCTGTGGTCTGGCCAGGCAGTGGTGGTGCATGCCTTTAATCCAGCACTCAGAGGCAGGCGGATCTCTGTGAGTTCAAGGCTAGCCTGGTCCACAGAGGGAGTTCTAGGACAGGTTCCATAGCTACAGAGAAACCCTGTCTTGAAAAACAAAACAAACAAACAAAAGAGTTGTTATGATCATTGGTCATTGTGTCTCTTCATAGCAATAGAACAGAACACTAAGACACACAATGACCACCAAAGTCACCCTGAGCTGGTAGTTTCTGAGTTCATTGTCTCATGCCCAAGAAGGAAAAGGAAACTCTGACAAAGAGTAGAGAAAAGAACTCCCCAGTGGCAAGGCCTTTAGGGTGTAGCCGCCCTGGCTGCCCTACCCAGCAGCCTTTTATAGACGTCCATCAGGAACTGGGTAGAGACTAAGATCATCATCGTTATTGGGCTTAGTCAGTTTTGAGCCCATCACAGACTGAGCCAGTAAGGTGTGCACACGCCTTATACCTACACCCTGGGTCCGCTGGGGGAATTACTCAGCCGTCTAAGGGAGGGGTTCCTAGCAATCTTTGTCAAGGTCTTAGAAAACTTAGGCAGGCTCAGGCAAGAGCTCACTGGTTTGCAAGGGAAACAAAAAGGAAAGAAAGACTTCATGCCAAATCTGGGGTCTCGGTCACCATGAAGAAATCAAACTGTGAAACTTTTGGCTTCCAGAGGCGGGAGTGTGGTTCAGTCAGAGTCTCATTGACTCTGAGGTCAATCCCTTGCATGGAAATAAAATAAAAATAAGAATATATAAACAGGGGCCTGAAGAGATAGCTCAGTGGTTAAAAGCACCTGCTATTCATCCAGAGAACCGGAGTTCTGCCTCCGACACCCAGTCCCCAGGTCAGGTAGCTCTGAACTGCTGCTACTCCAGCTCTCGGGGATCTGACTCTCGCTTCTGACTTCTTCAGGCACCAGCATGTGTGTGTCTCACACACACACACACACACACACACACACACACACACACGCACACTCACACGCATTTGGTTTTTCAAGTCAGGGTTTCTCTGTGTAATAATAGCTCTGGCTGTCCTAGAACTCTCTTTGTAGACCAGGCTGGTCTTGGACTCACAGAGATCTACCTGCCTCTGCTCAGTTTAAATAAAATATTTTAAAAAGAATAAATAAATGAAAAAAAAAAAAGACCCTTGAGCAGGAAAGGGCCATTAAGCCTCTGCTTTGCCTAGGGTCTGAATAGCCTATGTCCTTCCCTGAGCACAGAATCTCAGTGTTGTCCCCTTCGCATGGATAAGTAATGACCTGAGAACAGAGAACAAGAGACAGGCTGGGAAAATTATGTCTAAAAATGCATTTTGTGTGCGGTTGCTGGCATCTGGAATGAACTGGAAGCAAATAGATAAGGCGCCTTTTCTGGTTTCAAGGGAACCATGCCATCAAATAAGTCATAAGCCAGAGCTAAAAACAGAAAAATCTATTTGACCCATTGGGCCTTCAGACCACCTTCAGGTCTCAAGACTTCTGTGGGCAGCGAAGGCTGAGCTGTTGTCGGGGAACGCACCCACCTCAGAGGTGGCCTTGGACAGGAGTGGCAAGGCAGACTTCTGGAGGGTGGGGCTAGGGGCAGCAGAGAACAGTGACGTTGCTGAAGGAGGAATATAGGTCCAGGGCCCAGCCTCTTTCCTTTCCTCTCTTCTGAAGATGACTGGGTCTGTGACTTTCCCACCTGTGTGGGTGTAGCGTGGAAGGGACTCAGATAGCCCGCCCCAGATTTCAAGGCTTCATGAGAGCCCAGAGGAGCAAGATCGGCCTATCTGCTGGAGGACCTAGCCTGTACAGGGTAAAGAATGACAGCTTATCTGTGGGGCAGTGAAGTACACGCTCCCTGAGAGAGGGTTGGTGGTGACCTTGGGCAGCCTGTGGTGGCAGAGACTGGTGAATTGCTCACCAGAGATAACCAGTGTCCCACCAGGGGAGCAGCATGAAAATAAAGCGTGTGTCTCTCAGGAAACCCACTGCACATGTTTTCTCCTTGTCAAGTTGGGAGCGTAGGCCCCAGTCCCTCTCATCTATCCCAGCCCCCAGGCCTGGTCTGGACTCCGAATCCTAGCAGGCCAGATCCTGACCCCTCTCTGGGGATGGGGTCAGGACCACTCCCCAGGGTACTTAAGTGATCTCCTGAAAGAGGAACACGTGGTCTCCCTTTCTTCCTCCCGGAGGTTGCGTTCCTGCGGCTTCCTGGTTCCCTCTCGGGTGGCCCAGATCTCCCATTAAACCTGGATATTTCTTAATTCGGCTTGTTTTGATTTGGCTTGATTGGGAATTTTTGCTTCGTCAGGGAGCTTGTATTAAGAAATATTCCTAACATTCCTTGGCTGGAGTATCTCCTCAAGGCTCCTGTGACAGCCATGTTAAAGATGTCCTGTCTTGAGCTTGAAACACGGACCAGTTGGATAGTTCATAAGGAGATAGATTCCACACTAAGCCATCAAAACCTTGTGTCTGCAGCTAGTGTTTCCGTGGTTAAAGAAGCATCAAAGCTGTAAGAACAGGACAGTTGGAATAGGACAGAGCCGGTGCTCTGGAGATGGACCCAGAAAGGGAGGTGAAAGCCGGAGGCAGGGGTGGAGTTGCATCAGAAGAGGGTGAGAAGGGGAGACGGAAGGTAGGATGTAGGGCTGAGGGTGTGGCTCATTTGATAGAGCGCTTGCTTAAAGGTGTTCAGAAGTCTGGGTTCAAGCCCCAGCACCGCATCCAGCTAGGTGAGTTGATCCAAGCCTGTAATCCCAAAACTTGTGATGTGGAGGCAGGAGGATCCGGAGTTCAAGACCATCCTTATCTTTGTGGGAAGTAACATTCAAGACCTTGAGTTCTAGATTCATTTCTGTTGCTGTGATAAGACACCTCAACAAACAAAACAAAACAAACGTACAGCAACAACAAAATCCATCTTAGGAGAGAGAAAAGGTTTATTTTAGTTCACAATTCTAGGTTTTAGTCCATCACAGAAGGGAAGTACAGGAGGCAGGAACTTCAGATAGCTAGTTACATCATCTCTGAGTTCAGGATAAGAGAGAAACAAGGGCGTGCATGCACAGCTTGCTTCTTGCTTGCTTACTTGCTTGTGCTCAACTTGTCTCTACTCTTACACTGTTTATTTTATTTTATTTTATTTTATTTTATTTTTTGGCTTTTTGAGACAGGGTTTCTCTGTAGCTTTTTGGTGCCTGTCCCGGAACTAGCTCTTGTAGACCAGGCTGGCTTCGAACTCCCAGAGATCTGCCTGCCTCTGCCTTCCGAGTGCTGGGATTAAAGGCGTGCGCCACCACCGCCCGGCTCTTACACTGTTTAGGACTCCTTACTAGGGATTGGTGCCACCCACAGTAGACTGACTCAGCCTAGTACCAGTTACCTTAATTAAGACAGACTCCTACAGATAAGTCCACAGGTCAGTCTTGTGTATACAATCCATCCCTGAAACTCTTCCCACGTTATTCTAAGTTGTGTCAAGTTGACAAGCTATTTAACGATCTTTCATACCTTATTTCAAAGGAATAAATGAATAAAGAAGCAGAATGGGGTTCAGGAAGAAGAGGCATTTGGCAGTTAGTGAGGAAACTCTCCATCTAGTACCTACTGCCTATCTATTTACTCTTAGTCAAGGGAAGCAACAAAACTGTTCATTGAGGGAAAGAGAATGTAAACAATTTCAAAACCCAAAGCTAATTAAATAGCTTTCCTTTCTCTGCTTCAAATTTGTGCATTTTCTTAGGGCCCTCCACACCCTTCTATGGGGAAGCAACAAGCAGATCCGCAGGCTGCACTGCCCGAGAGCGCTCATCAGTGTGGAGTGTCAGCGCTTCCTGCTTTTTTCCTCCCTCCATCATGTGGCCTGCAGGAAAGCCACTGGTGCAATTAGCGGAGGTGGCTCCGGGTGCCCACTTTGCCACCGTGGCGCTGCTCCAGCTCCTTCCTTCCTTTGTTCCTAGCCAGAGGATCTGTTTTGGTTTTCTCAGACTCCCCTAGCTTAAGTGGTCCTCACCCCCAGCAGACCCGAGAAATGTAAACACCAAGGTTTCCATGGTGCGCCCCCCTGGGTGGAGCTTGCTTGTGGTCTGTTGAAATCTTGGCTGGAAGGATCAGTGAGGACATTTGGCAAGCTGGAATCGGGGCAGCCTGATAGTAAGAACACTGTGATGGATCTTTTCTGTGAGGTGACAAGAGCTGGTTTGGCAGGTAAAGGCACTTGCTTCTGGGTGGGCTAATGACCCCTGTTCAATCCCTGGGACCCACACAGCTGGAGGAAAGAACCAACACTTACAAGTTGTCCTCTGACCTCCATATTCGCACAGGGCACAGGAACACCCCATAATAAAAAATGTTTAAAAATGTAAAATATCCACTAAAATAATCTGTGTGACTGGGTATGGCAGTGTAAAACTATAATCTCAGCTACCCAGGAAAACGAGGCAGGAGGATCCTGAGGTTGAGGTCACAAAATAAGACTTTGTTTCAAAAAACACTAACCAAATTAGGAATGGTGGCATTCACTTTTAAACCAAACAAAGGCAGGCAGATCTCCGGAAGTTTCAGGCCAGCCTGGTCTACATAGTGAGTTCCAGGTCCCCCAGTAAAGTGAGACCCCGTCTCACAAGAGAAACAACACTAAGGGAGGTACTCCTGACTGAGGGAGGGATGGAGGGAGGGAGGAAAGGAGAGGGGGAGGGAGTTAGGGAGGGAGGGAGGGAGGGAAAAAGGGAGGCACCTCAAACCACACAAAACCTCCAAAAGATAAAACCCAGAGATGGAGATCTGTTTTGCAGGCAGATCCTGAGCCAGGAACAATGATGAACATGTAAGGTCCCCTTTGTTCCGGGGTGCTCTCCCTCTGGGTAGGAAGCAGGCTGCTACCGTGCCCCTTGCTCCGTGCTGTACAGAACAAGATAGAATGTGATGGGTGTTAGGTCTGGAGATGGGCCTATGGGCTGCAAGGAGAAACGGCAGGAAGAAACAACCCAGGCTCTGTCAACCGATGGATGGACGACATAAAGTAGAATATCAGGCATCCATAAAAAGGCACAAAGTACACATTCACACCGCAGATAAACCTTGAAAAAGATCCCAGAGTGAAAGAAGCCAGACCTAGAAGGCTGAGACCGCTAAATTCCATTGGTGCGGAACACCCAGGGCAGAAACCTCTGTAGAGACGTAAAGCAGGTCTGAGGTTGCCAGGAACAGACATTAATGAGTCTGGGCTTTTATTTCAGCATGATGAGAAAGTTCTGGAATCAGTAGTGATTCTTACATAGACATACGTGCCAATCCTTTAAAAACACCCAAATCCTTAAAAAAATTAAATTAAAATAAAAGCAAATCCACAAACGCATGTGTGCACACACATGCTTAAATACAAGCACACACACGCATGCCTATATGCATTTTTTAAATGTGCTTTTCCCTACGTGTGTTTGTGCCTGGTGTCTGAGTAGCCAGAAGAGGGTGTCAGATCCCTTGGAGCTGGTGTGACAGATGATGCTTGTGACTTGTCACAGGGGTGCTGGGAATCTAACTCAGGTCCTCTGGAAGAATAGCCAGTGCTTTTAACTGTTGAGACCTCTCTCCAGCCCCTTGGTGTTTTGCTGTTTGTTTGTTTGAGGCCCAACCTGATCTACTATGATCCTCCTGCCTCAGTTTCCCAAGTACGGGATTATAAGTATGAGCCAGCATGCCTGGTACATTTGTGTTTCCTAAAGTCTGTGCCTTGGAGGAGGGGGGAAGAGCATGGCCAGAGTGACCCTCGAGTCTTGGTCCAGGCAGGGACCTGGTGACAGTGCTGGGTAGTCTTATGTCAGCTTGTCACAAGCTAAAGTCGTCTGAGAGGAGGAAACCTCAACTAAGAAAATGCTTATGCTGGGTGGTTGTAACTCACGCCTTTAACCCCAGCACTCGGGAGGCAGAGGCAGGCAGATCTCTGTGAGTTCGAGGACAGTCTGGTCTACAAAGTGAGTTCCAAGACACTTAATGCTACACAAAGAAACCCTGCCTCAAAACAAACTATATACATGCATATATACATACATACATATGTGAGTGTATACATGTATGTATGTCTACACACACATATAAAAGAAAGAAAGAAAAAAGTGCTTCCATAAAATTGAGCTGTAGGGCTGGAGAAATGACTCAGGGGTTAAAAGCGCTGGCTGCTCTTCCAGAGTTCAGTTCCCAGCAACCACATGGTGGCTACAACCATCTATAATGAGACCTGGTGCCTTCTTCTGGCCTGCAGGCATACATGGAGGCAGAATGTTCTGTACATAATAAATACATAAATCTTTTTTTTTTTTTTTTTGGATGAAGCTGTAGGCATAGAGCCAACCCCATTGGCGGAGATGTGGGTGAGCTAGCCCCGATGTTGTGAGTATGGGAGAGCTGTCCCCATCACGCATCTGTCATGTGGCTGCATGGGCAGGGGAGAGATGCTACCCTCACCCTGAGTCCATCAATGCCTGAGGCAGGTGGGAGAGCAGGCTCTAGGGTCAGAAGAGCAGGAGAGCTGTCCCTGCCCCTCATCAGCTACAGCACTTGGACACGAGGGACGGCATGGCACTGGCCAGGGACTGAAAGCTGTCGGGATGGCTTAGAACTATGCTACAGGAGGATGGGCTGGGGAGGGAGGCCTCAGAAGGTACAGGAGCAGCCTCGGAGGCCCTCGGGGGTGTACTAACATCTGCCAGCAGGGACATCCTTCCCAAGACTTTCCTGTGTGGTGCTTTTGGTTTTTCTTCCTGGCATGTTGCAGAATAATTAGGAAGTCGTGAGTCTGAAGCATTTTTTTTTGCCTTTACAGAAATGAAATTCATCATCGATAAATGGAGGACTGGATGGGGAGAGGCTCGTGAGATGGCTAAGAACAGATTGTTAAACACAGACCCCGCCGCATAGATAGAAGGATAGACTCACGGCAAACCCGAATCTGCACATCATTCTGGTCTCCCTGGTATGTCTGTCCTTCTGTCCGTCCATCCCTCCCCCAAAACACCAAAGTTGCTTCTTTAATAAAGAAAACACTTTCTCCTTTCCAGGACAAGTTAGTTTTGGGGTAGAGGAGGCTGTCAGGCACTGGAGTGTGACCGTGTTGAGCGGCACTTGAATCACCGCAGCTGTTAGGGTGGAGCCGAGCATCATGGGTACCGTCTGCACTAAAGTCTGGATGGACTGATGCCATGAAGAGAAAACTGAGGGGCAGGGGTGGCGAGAGTGCCTGGAATAGCTCGCTGTCTGCGAGAGGAATGTGTAGTGTTCATTGCCGTCTGCTGAGAGCTGAACCTAGTTTCCCAGAGTCTGCACAGACCCCAGACCCTTGGACAGCAATGTTGGGTAAGGTGGCCCACAGATGGCAGGCAACACACATATTGTTGAGTTCACTCTGGAGGGGGATTGGGGATTTGTGAGTAGAATGTAGAACTCACATGAAAACCAATAAATCTGTTGTTTGCTTGTGCTGATGAAGCTTTGAGCCAGTGGACCCGAGCACTGGGGTTCCTCCAGGATGAGAGAGTTGAGTATTAGCATCCTATATCTGTGGGAAGGAAGAGTGCCTGACGGGAGCCTAAGACGGAGCCCCTGAGAAGGTCTTCCTCCTCTTCCAGAAAGGGCTGCCGAGGCAAACCTGGACCCCCCCCTTTCCATGGGTGGGGTCTCTGCTGGAGGTGGGTATGTTCAGTGCATTGAGAGGAATTGACAAGAGGCCTGGTCCCTTCCATTTCCCCGGGGCAAACCCCTACAAAAAAGAGCAAGAGGAAGGGTCCAGCAGGTCCTGTGGTTGGTACTGTGGGTAAGGTTGTGCTCCTGCTGGCCATAGGGGAGTCTCAAAAGAAAGCCTGTCCCCAGGTAACAGTTGTCCCGGTTCACTGCTCACAGGGCCTAATGTCCACCCATGTGCTAACTGTTCTTGTGGTTTTACCTCTTCCAGGCGATTCAACCAAAAGCAAGCAGACGGCACGTGACTGCTTCCACTCAGTATGTTTCAAGGGTCACCATTGCATCCTTGGGTCATGATTTTTATCCTTTCCGTAGCTCAATAACCTTTCTTTGTGTGACTTTGCCACATTTCCGCGTCTGTTTCTGAATGAGCCAGAAGACGGTCCCGGTCCCTACGGCAGACAGCTGTGTGCTTGGACATCCGGTACAGGCAACAATGTGGATGCAGATCTGGAAACACCTGCTGTCTCCTTGTGTTTCCCCAAACCGATGGCGAAGCTTCCAGATGCTGCAGCCATGAGGGATGCTGGCAAGGCAATGGGCAGGGCTCACAGCCACTGCTCATTGTGGGTGAGCTTACCCAGGATCTGCACCTTTGGTACCAGTTAGGTGGTTTCTTCATGACCTCCCAGGGGAGAGAGAAGGCCTCACCCAGCAAGGGAGGTTCTGCAGAGCTGGAGAGCCTGGAATTTTCATCCGTAGCACAACTGCCTGTGTGGGTCATGGGGAGTATTCCTACTGCCCAGCCATGGCTACCTGGGCAGGTGAGCTCTTCTTCTGCTGAGCTGCCTTGTGAGTCTTCAGCTTGCTCTGACACTTCCTTCCTCAGCTGGCTTTGCATAAATGCACGTTTTGAGCAAAGAAGACTTACCCAGAATGCGGTCAGTGCCAAGGTGGTTTAGCAAACAAGAGATCAGGAAAGAAAAAGAGCAAGCTTGCTGAATGAGAGTACATACCAGTAATCTCAACACTTGGGAAGGCTGAGGCAGAAGGATGACAGATTCCAAGCTAGCCTGGGATGCATAGCCAGACCCTGCCTCAAAAACAATAAAAGTTTTTGTGGAATCCCATCAAAGCCTCGAAGCTGCTACTCACTAGTCCGTTATGTAAATGTGTGTGGAGATTGTAGTTAGATAAGATAGGAATCTCATGACTTCAGTGTTGAGCTGTGGAATGGCTCATACGAAAGCTGAGAACACAGGGATGGTAACACTGTCTTTGGATGTCTCAAGATCTGCACATGTGACTTTAAAGGTAGTAGCTCAAAATCTTGGCCGCATATAAGACTCATCTGGGGGACTTTTAAGTCCACCACATCTGGCCAACACTTTCAGGACCGGATTTAATTGGTGGGGACAGGGCACTCGGCTGCTGTATTTTTTATTTTTTTTAATGACTTTTCCTGTCGACTCTTAAGATACAGCAAACATCCAGCAAACGCTGGTGGAGCCTCTGCTTGTGGCAGGAAGTCAGGTGGAGCAAAAAGAGGACAAGGATGTCCCCATGGACAAGGTCTGGATGGCAGGACACATGCACACACACCAATGCACACATGTACACATACGCATGCACAAGCACACAATCATGCATGTGCACACACATGCACACACATACACACGCACACATGCATGCACACACATGCACACACACATGCACACGCCCATGCATGCATGCACACCTCTGAGAACAGTGGGTGGTTAGAGCTGTAGTAGTCTCCCGTAACTTTATCAGGTTTGGACTCAGAAGTGGAGTGGTGTGGGAGGCAGAGTTGAGAGTGAGATGTGTTTTGGGGACTTGGGAGGGAAGAAAGGGAACACAGATGGGCTTGGAAGGCAAGGAGAGGCTTCAGGGAGTGATCTAGGGATTTGTTTGTAGCGGGAGAGACCAGAGTGCATCCAAATGCTAGCAGAACCGCTCCAGCTGAGAGGAGGCTGTGAGGGGCTAGAATGCATGATTGATGGCAGGCAGTTCTAAGGAGGCGGGGGAGGGAAGGACTGGACCAGCCCGGTCTGCACAGTGTTGACCTTCTGTAGAAAGGACAGTGTAACGGGGTGGGAGGAGAGGGTGAAGCAGAGTTTGAGGGTGCCTGGCCTTGCTGGGGGGGTGCCAAGAGCATTCCTTCATATTCAGGGGTCTCTGTACATCTTTTAAGTACATGGAGCCTCAGCCCACACCCTAGGTTCGCTTTTCTTTCTCCTCTCTCCTTCCACACGGCGGCAGACCTAAGGCTTCCAGCCTGGTGAGGGTTTGGTGTTGAGAGCCCAGCCACTGTCACCCCTGGATCGGGTTCTCCAGTGGTGTGCGGGATATCAGCTAGGGTTTGCCCTACAGCTTGGACCCTGTATTGGTGATGATTCCCTAGAGGAATAGAGCTGATAGGATGGATATGATCAAATGATAAATGATTTATTAGAGTGGTTTATAGTCTGTGGTCTCACTGCTCCAACAATGGCTGTCTCCTCAAAGGAGCCATCACAAACAAAGGGACAATTGCAGACATTGTGACCTCTAAGGCCTGACTTGGGAGTTGTATTTTTGGAACATGCTATTGTCAAAGCCAACCACAGTCAGACTCAATGGAAAGGAAGATACAATTTACCTCTCTGTGGAAAGGGTAGCTAAGAGCTTGCCACCATGATCTTCCGAACCGGAAGTGAGAACCTTGGGCCACATCTTGAAGGCCTTTCTCTTGGGAACGTTGCCAGTACGTGTCTGACTCCTCACTTTATGGGCTAGGAATTCTAACTTGAGGCCAAATCTCATGGTTGGAGGAATTCCTGGGTAAAGCAACGCTCATCCTGATCTTCCTCCTGCCACACGGCGGTGACCATTTGAGGGGTGACAAATTTGGAGCTGCTTGCAGGTGCCCACGGAACAACTGGCCTTAGAAGCTCACGAGGATGGGGGACTCCCGCTCACACTTCCACTCATCGTTCCCAGGCCCAAATGGTGACATCACATCAACCTAACTTCAAGGGAGGCTGTGCTCTGACAGCCGCTACCACACCGTCTTTCTGTGTCATCACCAGGGGCTTGGGGTGACGGCAGCCATTTGTGACTCTGAAGAGAAGGTAAACAGATGTGCAGGAGTGAGGTAAAGCCTGGGTGTGGCTGAGGTGCTGAGCTGGCAGCACTGCTGGGGCAGGAGGTCCTGATTGGGTGGGAGTGGGTGAGCAGGTGTGAGCGTATGGACATCCATTTCCTCCTCCTCTCGACTGTGGAAGTGACGTAAGTTCCAGGCTCGACCTCCCTCCCACAATGGACCATAACTTAGAATTGTAAGCTTCCTGAGTCGCTTTTTTCTTTTGGTTCTTCATGACAGGGTTTCTCTGTGTAGCCCTGGCTGTCCTGAAACTCATGCTATAGACCAGGCTGGCCTCAAATTCACAGAGCTCTGCCTGCCTCTGCCTCCCGAGTGCTAGGATTAGAGGCCTGCGCCACCACCGCTCAGCTCTGAGAGACTTTTTCTCAGGGTGTTTTTTACCACAGGGAGAGGAGTAAAATAATCACAGAGCTGAGGGACAGTGACCTCTTCTCTCAGTCTGAGGCTTCATTCCACCCTCCCAATGCTGTCTTTTGCAGGGTGGGAATAATTTATTATTGTTTCCTTCCACAGATCATGTTTTGGGTAGTATGCCTAAAATCTTATTGCCAAACTCAAGAGTATTTAAATTTCCTATTACGTTAACGTCCAGAATTTGAAAAGTTTTGTCTTTTATGGTTAGCTCTTCGACACACTTTTAGTTAATTTTGGGGGAAGCGTGTTGTGTATTTGGTCTAGATTCTCTCATTTATTTATTATTTATTCTGTGTGTGGATGTCCAGTCGGTGCTGCACTGTCTGTTGACAAGGCTATCTCGTCTTTGTTCCTTTGAAAGAGATCCACCGGCCCTGTTTGGTTTTGTGTCTGGGCTCTCTGTCCTGGCTTTCTGTTTTTCTGGCACGTTTTCCAGGACGTCGTTGACTCAGTAGACTGAGAAGAACTGCCGCTTTCACAATATTGCCGTCCAGTTTATGACCAGAGAGCCCCTCTTTAGATTTGCTTCGATTTCTTTCATCACAGTTTGTAGCTTCTTTTGAAAAGGCTTTTGTTAGCCAGGTGGTGGTGGCGCACGCCTTTAATCCCAGCTCTCGGGAGGCAGAGGCAGGTGGATCTCTGTGAGTTCGAGACTAGCCTGGTCTACAGAGCTAGTTCCAGGACAGGCTCCAAAGCTACAGAAAAACCCTGTCTGGGGGGGGGGGGGAACAACCGAAAAGGCTTTTGTTTTTCTTTCTGTGTTGTGATGCATGGATGTTTGCATACCACATGCATGCCTGGTGCCTACAGAGGCCAGAGGGGGCATTGAATCCCCTGAAACGGAAGTTACAGATGGCTGTGGGCCACCATGTGGGTGCTGGGAATTGAACTTGGGTCCTCCAGGACAGCAGCCAGTGATCTTAACCACAGAGTCATCTTTCCAATTCCCAGCTTTATAGTTTCTTGCATGTAGATCCTGAATATACTTTTGATATTTATTCTTGAAATAATAGCTCATTTTTGTTGCTCTGACAAACCGACAGCAGTTTGGTACTTCTGTAATGGAAGCTTGTGACTGTGAGGAGACGGTCCATAGACCCCCAGAAAGAGTGGGATAAAGCCTGGGTGTGGCTTGGCTCCAAAGCCAGTACTACTGCCAAGGCAGGAGGTCCTAAGAGTCTGAGAATGAACGAGCAAGTGAGCACACGTCCATTTATTTCTTTGTCCTCTTGGCTGTGGACGTGATGTAAATAGCTTATTTACTACATAGTTTTAGGGGCTGAAGTCTAAAATGGGCTGTCCTTTCTGTTCTGCCTCCAGTGAGGGCCCCCTTGACTACACATGGCAGACAGGTAGTATCATGGTGGGAAAAGGTACAAGAGAGAGAAAGTGCAGAGCAATACATTGTGATGTTTTAAAAGAAAATGGTCCCCGAAGGCAGTGGCACTATTAGGTGAATTTGTTGGAGTAGATGTGGTCCTGCTGGAGGAAATGTGTCACTCTGAAGGTGGACTTGGAGGTCTCATATGCTCAAGCCACACCCAGTGAGACAGACCGCTTCCTTTTGCCTGGGGATGAAGATGTAAGAACCCTCGGCTCCTTCTCCAGCATCCTGTCTTCCTGCATGCTTACAGTCAGAGACTGCTCTTGTGTTTCCCGGCCGCCCAGACCCAAATAATCACACAGAAACTATATTAATTACAACACTATTTGGCCGATAGCTTAGATGTCTTTCTAGTTAGCTCTTATATTTTAAATTAACCCATTTCTATTCATCTGTGTATCACCACTAGGCTGTGGCAGACCCATGTGGTTTAATTTCAGCTTCGAGAAGTTCATGTATCTTGTAACATTGCAACATTGAACCTTCTGATGGACATAATAAAAAAATTGAACAAGTGGTCTTAAATTTTTGGAACACTCTGGATTCTTTTTACTTAGTTTTGTGTGTGTGTGTTTTAATGTAGCCTTGACCGTCTGACCTGGAACTTGCTGTGTAGAACAGCTTGACCTCAGACCTGGAGAGGTCTGCTGCCTCTGCCTCCCCAGTGCTACAATTAACGCCCAGTGCCTACCTTGTGTAAAACTTCTACTGCAGCCGTGAATATGAATGCATGTGCAGCGTCTCCATGAAAAATATGTTTCTCCTCCTCCCCCCTTTTTAGAGTTGGAAGGGCGGTTTGAGATAGGTTCTCACTGTATAGTTCAGATTGCCCTGGAATTCACTACGTAGGCCAGAATGGCCTCTGACTCATAACAATGCTCCTGCCTCAGGCTCCGAAGTGCTGGGACTATAATTGTGAGCCATAATGCCCAGCTCGAAAAAGTCTTTCTTTCTTTCTTTCTTTCTTTCTTTCTTTCTTTCTTTCTTTCTTTCTTTCTTTCTTTCTTTCTTTCTTTCTTTCTTTCTTTCTTTCTTCCGTTTTAAGACAGAGTTTCTCTGTGTAGTCTTGGCAGTCCTGGAACTCGCTCTGTAGACCAGACTGGCCTCAAATTCTTAGAGATCAGCCTGCTTCTGCCTCCTAAGTGCTGAGATTAAAGGTGTGTGCCACCACCATCCAGCTATATTTATTTTTTAAATATTTGTTTACTTAGTAGTGTGCGTGTAAGTGGTTAGTTAGGTAGAGCATTGCTGTAGCACCCGTGTGGGGTCAGAGGGCAACCCTATGGAGCTGGCTTTCTCTGTACAGCTCTAAGCAGGTCCCAGAAATCAAACTCAAGTCATCAGACATATATGGCAAGTGCTTTTTACTCACCGAACCACCCTGCCGATACTGGACTTCTTATGAGTTTCTTCCCCTGAAGACCGCAGATTAAAGATGGACTTTATTCAGTTTGCTTTCCCTTCAGTGCTTGCTTCCTTAAAAGTTTCTAGAATCATCCTGACTGGGTGGATGAGATGGCTTAGTGGGCCAAAGTGTTTGGTGGGCAAACCAGGTGATCTGAGTTCAATCCATTAACCTGTAATAGAAGGAGAGAGAATTGACTCCCAAAGACCTCCACAGGTGCCATGGCATGCATGCTCACACAGACATAGGCACACAGTAATAATGTAAATAAAAAAAACCGCATCCTAGCCAAATGGTGGTGGTGCATGTCTTTAATCCCAGCACTCAGGAGGCAGAGGCAATCAGACCTCTGTGAGTTTGAGGCCAGCCTGGTCTATAAAGCGAGTTCCAGGACAGCTAGGACTGTTACACAGAGAAACCCTGTCTCAAGAAACCAAACCAACCAACCAATAAACAAACAAACAAACACATCCTGACCCTCAGTTTCCAAGAATCAAACAATGCCATCATAACATTTTAAAAAGAACCCTAAGCCAGGCAAGATAGCTGACATCTGTAATTCTGGGCTAAATAAAGGGTTCCAGTCCAGCCTGGGTTTTATAGAGAGACCTTGTGGAAAAGAGAGAGAAGGGAAGGGAGGGAGAGGATGAAAGCGGGAGAGGGAGTCAAACCTTACTGGGCATAGTGGGACACCCCCAGCACTCAAAAAGCTGAGGCAGAAAGAGCACAAGTTCCAGGCCAGCCTAGACTGCACGGAGAGACCCTGACTCAGTAAATAAAAGAGAGCCAGTCAGAAAAGCAAAGCAGAGTTGACTGGGGAAACTGTCCAAACTAGGTCTTTGACTGTCACAGGAAGGACTAGGGCCACCATCTAGCAAGACCTTCGTTGTCTGCAAACCAAATATCTGCAAAGGCTCAACTTCAAATCCTGACGACATCATTTGTGAGGGACTCAAGACTGAGGACTTCTGTTGGCAGGCACAGTTCGTCCCTGCTGAGGAATTCCAAGTTCAAGGTGAAGCAGTCCCAGACGTTCAGGAAAACACACAGACTCCAGCTGCACAGGAGGCACGAGGAGAGGGAGGGGTTGATGGGGCCGAAGTGTGAGTTACAGAGAGAGAACTGGCCGTGTCACAAGCGGAAGGGTGCGGGTTAATAATGTACGTGCCGGGCTGATGCTAGCAATAACCATCCGAAAACGAGGACCTAATTATTTACCAGTGTTTCAAAGGGGAGCTGACGCTGAAGTCTGTGTTCCTTCTATTATTGATGAAGCTGTGGCTCCTGGCTGAGCAAAAACAAAAGTGGAGAGGGATATAAACCTGATAAAAAAGAGAATGTGCTCCAGAGAAGCTATTTGGAGGGACCGAGAAGGGCGGGTCCTGCTATGCCAGCCGTTTAACCATCACTAGAAAGGCCCTTGAAGAGTTCCAGACAGGTGTGTTTGTTTAGCGCGGCTGCCCTAACAATGCACCACATACTTGGTGGTGTGGAACACAGTGCCTGCCTCATCCCCGTTCTAATGGCTAGAGAGTCATGTCTGCTGGTCCTTGCTTCCTTTAAAGCTCTTGCCTCTCCATTTGGCTGTGGTTTCCCCAAGTTTGCGGCTGTCTCTCTCCTGTTTCGTGTGTTCCTGTGTCCTGTGTAGACACTTGCCATCGGGTGGAGGTTCCTCTCAGACAATCCAGGACAGTCTCAAGACCCTTCATGTCCGCAAAGAGCTCTCTCCCAAATATGGTTATATTCCCAGGTTCTGGGGTTGGGATATGCAGATACCTTTTGAGGGTCACCCTTCAACCCAACTCCAGTGAACATACAACTTTGTAAGCTGCCATTCTGCCTGGCTCTGCTTTATTATTTACAAACTATACTGGGAACCTGCAGTCAGGATGTTGCTTTCCTGGTCCTTGGGTATTAGGAGAGCTTCCTTTCTGGTACAGGTTCTGAGAGGGGTCAGAAAGCTGCTGTCTAGGGGCTAATAGTCCCCGCCAGAGGACAAGGTCTGAGGGAGGCTGAAGGGGAAGAGCTGTGTGGGGCTTTGAAAGGTCTGACTGAGGAGAGTAGCTGCTGGGGGTGGGGGTGAGGGAGGGGATGGTTATGCTGATATCAACTGAGACATAGTTCCCGGTGGTCCGCGCTGGATGCTTTCCCCATCCTCAGCATGCAGGGACTATTGTCAGTCCAGAATCTTGCAACAGTAGTCAGTGGGGGAAAGAACTGTGTCTTATCCTGGCTCGGCCCCCTCTACACCATGTACAACATGCAGGTGCACACAAAGTGGGGTACACTGATGATGAGATGCATTTCAGGGGTACAGATGGCTTTAGAGAACATGAGCCCCATTGCTGGGTAGCATGGAGTGTCAGGGAACCCCCAGGCCTGAGGTCATCTCAATGAACAAGAAGCAGGAATAAGGTAGAAACGGGGAGCTTTTAAGATGGGGGGGCCTAAATGCAAGGGAGGCCAGGCTCCTCCTGCAGTGTCCCTCCTGCCCCCCAAGGTGTGGGAAAGCTGGAACTCGATTTCCTCAGGCAGAGAAGAGTAGGGAGCAGACACCTTCTGGCCTGCCCGCCCTTGTTTGTCTTGGCTGAGGGCTTCACAGAGCTTTTTGAAGCCGATACCATCAGTGCAAATCTGGAGGAATCAGGACATGGATCACAGATGCGGGAGCTGAAGGGGCCTCAGATGGGGAACTTGAGGTAGTCTTCCCTTAAGTGATGTGAATGCCAAGCCTGCTCGCTGCTCCATGTATGTGGCTCGGCCCAAGTCCCACAGAGGGGCAGGACCTGTGCTAAGCTCCCCAGGACATGCAAGTTCTCAAAGCCACCCAGCCCTGCATGCCTGGGGTGTGCCTCTGTGCTTTGGGACCCACACTGATCCTTCCAGTGTCCAGGGGCTCTGGCAACAACACGAGGCCTCCCTGGACTGTGCCCCACCCCTCCCAAGCCCATAATTCCTGATCTTGACTCAGTGCCAACCCCCCTACCACCCTCAGCTCAGCCTGGACACTCCCAGGTCCTGTTCCACACAGATGCCGGCGGGTCACGTGTCCCACAGCTGAAGGCCTCCCCCATCCGCCTCCGCCATCTGCTGAGGCCCCATAATTATTCCAAGGCTCCGTGCAGCCTCTCTTGGAGGGAAGAGCTCATGCAGCCTTGTAATGTAAGCCAGGCCTGAGGCCGCTCGGGCAGGGGGTCCCCAGCTGGGTAATGAACCTTTCGCTGAGGTGGCCTGGGCTGTCCGTCTGAACACCTCATGGACCACAACGTCTTCTCTGTATCACAATTCCTGCTCCCTGGATCCTTCCAGACACAGGGCCAGAGGGTTCCCTGGGACTGGCTTCCCACGAGGGACGGTGTTATGCCCTACCTAGAGCCTAGGCAGGGTGGAGCAGAGCAAGCTGCTGGTGGGTCTGTCTTTGCTAGCGTTGTCTTTCGAAAGGCGTGGGGCAGCTCCCACCCCCACCCCTCCTAAACCTGCTGAGTTGCCCTCATCTCCCCTTCCTGGAGCCTGGGCCCCACAAAGGGAGGGCCTTGGCCGAGGAGGCCAGCGCTGTGGGCCAGGGCCTCTGTGAGGGGTGTAGAAAACTGCCTTCTTTCCTCTTATAGACGGCTGCTCAGTCTCAAGCCCTACTCAGTGTCATCCTGAGGCACAAACCCCAAGCCCAGCCCCTCTCTCCTACCCCTCAGCAGGGTGAGGACCCCAATCCCATATTCCCTGGGCTCATCATCATCCTTTTGAAATGCTTGTTTCTTGGTGCAAACTGAACATACCATTGTAGATGTCTGCAAAGCACATAGTAGGCACTTTAAGAACCACTTGAGGAGAGAGATGGGATAGGGAAAGAGGGGACAGACATGATGAGAGGTAAGAGGCCTGGCTTGTGGATGAGGGTTGTGTCTGTGAGGCTCCTCCGGGCCTTTGGGTGGTCTGCGGCTCTGCTGCTGAGGGGTAAGGTGGGGCTGGCTAATTTGGGTAATGGTGTCACTATTGTGTTGTCCTGTCATGACCCCACTTGCTCAGGAAACTCAGGGTGAACCTGAGGTCAAGGGTCACCTAGAGTTCACTGACAGAGCAGGTCCCGAGTTCACCCTGAAGGGTGATAAGGGTATAGCTGTCTGTGGAAGAGGCTCTTGAAGACAGGCCAGTGCCCAGCAGGCAACTCCTGCCTCTCACCCTCAGTGGTTGAGACACCCAGAGGCCGGGCCTCTGCCTAGCAGCTCAGCCCAACATCTACTCGCAGTGAGGATCTTGGGGCCCAGTGGAACTTGGTGGCGGGAACCTCCTTCCCTGGGTGTGAGGGAGTCACAGAGGGACTCAGGGTGGTGGGGCACGCACTATAAGAGTGAACTTGAGAATTTCGTGGTTCCCCAGGACGACTTGGCAGGCCCAGCCTGCCTTTCCTGTTGAGCTTCCTCTCTTGAACAGGGGTCTCCTGGGGCTGCAAGGAGGGTCGCCAGTGAAAAAATGGGTGAGAGGGTGTGCAAATGTCTCTCCCGTTCCTCTCCTCTCCCCCAGATCCCACTCATGGCCTCGGCAGACCCATCAGGCACCCAGCATCCTCCTTCCAAACGCGCGTCCTGGTATGATGGCTTGTGACACTCTCTCCTCTAAGTGCTGGGCAGAAAGCTGCCACTGTCTGTTTCCTTTTGTGGTGTCGGGAAGCTGAGCAAGCCGCAGCCAGGGCAGGGCTGTGTGGCGGCTCCTGCTTTGAGCAGCAGGGACACGGCTTCTGACATTACAGGGATTTCAAAGCAGCCGGCCTCTCCTGCTGTCTGGCTGCCTTACTGGCATGGGCCTCCTCGGAGGGAGGTTTGTTCTGATAGCTTGATAGAGACCTGACACCCCTCGCTAGCCCTTCAGCAGAGAAGACGGATCTTAGACCCTTGCAATGGGAAGGAGTTGGCTCAGAACGGGAGAAGCCAGTACTTCAACCTAGGAAGAGGAGGAACCTTTAGGTGATCTTGCAGGTGGTTGTTCAAGTTTATCAAGAGAGCAGCCGAGGGCCTCGGGTCCCCCTTCCAGCCACTTCCCTGCTTAAGCACTGCAGCCCAGTCTGCTCCCCAATCCCTGTTGGCTTATCCTCACAAAGGTACCTCCCTATCACTCCGAGCATCACTCCGAGATACCCTCAAGCTCTTGAGACAGAGATTGCTTCTAACCTCCCGGTCAACTTAACGTCTCTCTTCCCGGGCCTCCCCACAAATATAACCCTTGATTTTCGAAAACCTCTTGACCGTTCTGTAAAAAAACAGATTTTAGGCTGTACCTTGACAGCCGTTCCGGCAGATGGGTGGGGGAGGGGTGGCTTTAAAAGGCCCTGCCCACACCCAACAAGCTGCCGCCCTGGCCTCCTATGTTAAGGGAGCTGTGTGACACAGGGGGAGTTGCTTAGCTTCACTGTGCATCCCTTGCCTGAGTCCAAACCGGACGTACAGTTTGCAGCAAGGATTAAGATGAACTGACGCCCTAGAGAGTCTGGAGTGGGTAAGGAGTGATTGGCACAGTTGGTGCTTCCGAGGACCCTGGGCAGATTCCACCAGAAGCCTGGAACCCCATGTCCATAATACCTGGCACCCAAGGGCTCACCAAGCAGGGACCACTGTGGCCACTGGGTGAGGGCAGCTCGGTGGTGGTGTAGTGGAGTCCGGGGACACTGTGACTGCACCGGTTTCTTGGACTCCACAAGTGTGTAGAGAGAGGAGCGAGGAATGTGAATCCGTCCCAGCAGCCCAGGGGAGCCAGACCATATCTGGTATGTCTCTCTGGAATGGTTTTGGGGGAATTCACCGAAGTTGGAACTTAAGACGTGGACTGCTGGTAACCCTGTAACACAGGGATGCGGGTGCTGCCCGCGTGCATACCCCCCCACAAGGGGACCTGGTGCCCTGGGTGGGAGTCAGCTTACGCAGCGCAGCGCTGGCTGCTTGGCCCGCCCTTGAATGGCCGTGAACTTGTTTTTCCACGTCATTTGCTCTCAAATGTACTCTCGAGCCGGGCGATGCTAACAGAGCGGCTCAGGTCCCTCCTCGTAACAAGCGATTGTGTGTTCTTTAGAGGTGGCTGAGAGGAGGAGGGGGCCTGGCCCCAAGGAGGTGGGGAAAGGGAAACAAACCTGCCTCACAGTGAGCGTGCGTGTCCTGGGGCCAGCTCCCCTCAAAGCACATGCCATTTCTGTCCCTGGAAAGGGTTAAAGGCCTCCTGGAGTCAAGAACAAGCAGGTGTCCCACCGTGCCAGAGACCGCTGCCTAAACTGCTTCCAGCTTTCCCCCCTTCTGCAACCCGTCTGTGATCAGCCACGGGACAGAGGCGCCAGCAGCCTGCCTCTGACAGACATCAGGTTAGCTCGCTCCCACTCGGGTGGTGCGCCCAGGATATAAATCCAGGCTCGAGCCCCTGCCGTGTTCCTCTCCCTGCGCACCCGGGGTTGGGGGGGGTGGGGGGGGGACCGGAGTTTCCTTCCAAAGACCTTTCTTTTATCTGAAGCCTCACAGCCCAGCAGGCTGCACTTGGTGGAAGCAGCCACAGCAGCTGAAGCCAGCAAGCAGCCTCAGCAAGGAGACTTGCTGGGGTGAAGAGGGCAGGTGTGCCAGCCCCTGGAGAAGAAGGGCCCTGGTGGGCCTCAGCCCTTGGTGTCATCACAGGAAAGCCCTGTGGCCACTGCAGACCGCACCATGAGGGTCCCAGGGTGTCATCCGTTCTGGTTCCACTGGGGGCTGCTGTTGCTGCTGCTCCTGGGGGCACCCCTTCGAGGCTTAACATTGCCACCCATCCGCTACTCCCATGCGGGCATCTGCCCCAACGACATGAACCCCAACCTTTGGGTGGATGCCCAGAGCACCTGCAAGCGAGAGTGTGAAACTGACCAGGTGAGTGGGACTCCTTTAGCCTGAGATGGACCATTAAGTGGGTCTGTGATGGTGTGGGAGCTTTGGGGTGGGGATGACTCAGGAGGGCCTCCAGGAACATGAAGGAACGCAGACAGACCCTGCCCACCTGAAGACAAACGGGGGGGGGGGGTTGATGTCTGCCTATATCCTGCTGAGACCTGAAAGAGGGCGTGGTATCCAAACCACCTTGGAGCATCCCTCTTTGTGTTCGTTGAGGGCTTCTGTGGGCCAGAGTGGCACTGGGCACATGCCGTGTATTGGGATAACATAACAGCGTGGTAGATGAGGAGCAAACCACTCACAGGTGAGAGAGGTGCCGTAGCCAGGGAGGGACATGTTGGCTTGGAAGCCTACCTGACGCTGTGTCTGCAGCTCGTTATACCCGGTTTCTAGGCCCTTTCCCGGGTTGGAACTCGGCCACACAGCGGTGAGGCTGCTGAGCAGTTTGAGTGGGAGCTAGTCTGTGCAAATACTCTAAGTGTCCTGGGAAGAAAACTAACTGAGTTCCCACCTGTTGGGCTCTTCAGTGCTCCCATCTGCTCCTCCCTCGTGGACACTGCCATAGGCAAGGCCACTCCCAGATGATTCTTCCCTGGCTACCCGGTGGGTTCTTCCAAGGGCCGTCTTTGTCCAGTCCTGCTGGAAGAAAAGTCCATAGGTTTACCACAGTACCCGTGCCTACTAACCCATGCCTGCCCTCAGTGTGGCCACTTCCAGCCTGGTCATCTCTGAGGGTGGCTCATAGTCTCCCAGGGCTTTGGGTCTAATGGAGGCATCACTGAAGAACATGGGAGGTCCCAGTGCTGCTGAAAGTAGCTGTTCACACTGGGAAGGCATGGGGTTTCCATGGAGAGAGTGGATTCTGCCTCATTCTCCCCGGGGGACCATTCTCAGGCTTCTCAAGACAGGTGTAGACATTGGTGGTGCTGAGGAAGAAGGACCAGGGAAAGTTGACAATTCTGCCACCCAGAGAGCTCACACTATCAGATGACTACGTTCAGAGAAACTTTTCACTGATGCTGGTTAGCCTGGAATCAGGTGGCACTTAGGGACAGTGGAACTCTGGCTGACTTTGTCTGCTGTCTGGAGAAGGCACCGGAGTGCAGCTAAGGATCCAGGTAGCCCATGGGGACACTGTAAGTCTTTAAATGAAAGTATTCTAAATATCCCCTCCAGGGTTCCTTCACTAGGTCCCCAAGGGTTCTGGTTCTGAAGTGTCCAGCCATTCCTGGACCTCTGGGTCCTGAGGGAGCCGCCTACCCACATTGGAACAGAATAGCCCTCAGGCCAAGAAACAGGCTTTCCTGGTCACCAGTTTGCTCTGTCCCTGTCCACCCCCCACCCCTATGCCAAACAAGGGCTGCCAAACAAAGTCTTTATTCTAAGCCCAAAGGGGAAAAACAGTAGAGAAGTCAAGCAGCGGCTCCACACAGCCGGGTGGGGCTGTCCCCCCCTCTTAGCTCGTGTGGAATGTCAAAAGGGCTGGAATCAAAGTGGGAAGGACAAGGGGCCAGGGTGGTGGGGACTGCTTCACACAGCCACTACCTGGTGGAGGATTAGCGGCCCAGCCAGCCGCCCAGCTGCACGGTGTGACATTGTGCAACGCGCCACATGCAACCGCGTTTGTGTCAGCTCTAGTGGCATGTGCTAATTTTGAAGAATTAAAGTAAAGCCTTCCATGGCTCCACAGAAGTCAGAGGGAGATTACAGACTAGCAAGGCTTTGCTCGTACCACACAGGGGGACTGTTTTTTTTTTTTTTTTTTTCTGGTCACCAGGGTTCTCTGACATCCCGGATTCAGTGTGTGTTGCGGGGGGGGGGGGGTCTTCTAGATAGTTGTAGCTAGCCTTGAACATGGGCCCAGATGTGACCTCTTCACGTTAGCCAACACATCCTTCCCCCAGTGGGTAAAAGAGAAAAAGTCAGCCTCACGCTGTAAGCCTTCATCTGGGTAACCATATGGTGTTCCATTTCAGGATCCCACTTAAGAGAGCCTGCAGCCCTTTTCTGCCACCTCTCATCTCTGTGGCTTGAGTGTAGTCTCTCTGCCTCTCTATGTTCTCATTTTGAAAATGACAGTGGGCACATATATACCCTTTCAGAGGTCTGTGGTGCATCCCTTCCCACACTCCCAGCTCTGTGATCTTGGGCGAGTTGTTTAACCTCTCGGTGCTTCAGATTCTGTTCAAGGTGGGAATAGTGGTTGTACCCCCTTGGGCCTGGAAGAGAGTGGTAAAACTGAAGGATGGGCAGGAGCCGGACAGACAGTAGGTGCTGAGTCTACAGGGGTTCTTATCGACGTTAAGTGCTTTGTGAAGACACTTGTGCGTGTGCACATGCACACACACACACACACACACACACACACGAGTCCTCATGTCCCAGCCTTTTGGGGGGGGAGGGTTGATGTGAGACTCTGTTCTTGCTTCCTTGCTGTTCAAAACTCTGTGACTCTTTCAGGAGTGTGAGACCTATGAGAAGTGCTGCCCCAACGTGTGTGGAACCAAGAGCTGCGTGGCAGCCCGCTACATGGACGTGAAAGGTAAGAAGGGCCCTGTGGGCATGCCCAAGGAGGCCACGTGTGACCACTTCATGTGCCTGCAGCAGGGCTCGGAGTGTGACATCTGGGACGGGCAGCCCGTGTGCAAGTGCAAAGACCGCTGTGAGAAGGAGCCCAGCTTCACCTGTGCCTCCGACGGCCTCACCTACTACAACCGCTGCTACATGGATGCCGAGGCCTGCTCCAAGGGCATCTCCCTGGCTGTGGTCACCTGCCGCTACCACTTCACCTGGCCCAACACCAGCCCTCCACCGCCTGAGACCACTGCCCATCCTACCACGGCCTCTCCAGAGACTCTGGGGATGGACATGGCAGCCCCAGCCCTGCTCAACCATCCTGTCCATCAGTCGGTCACTGTGGGCGAGACTGTGAGCTTCCTCTGTGATGTGGTGGGCCGGCCGCGGCCCGAGCTCACTTGGGAGAAACAACTGGAGGACAGAGAGAATGTGGTCATGAGGCCTAACCACGTCCGTGGCAATGTGGTGGTCACCAACATCGCCCAGCTGGTCATCTACAACGCCCAGCTCCAAGATGCCGGCATCTACACCTGTACAGCTCAGAATGCTGCTGGCGTCCTCAGGGCTGACTTCCCGTTGTCAGTGGTCAGAGGCGGCCAGGCAAGGGCCACCTCAGAGAGCAGTCTCAATGGCACGGCTTTCCCAGCAACCGAGTGTCTAAAGCCTCCGGACAGTGAGGACTGTGGAGAGGAGCAGACACGCTGGCACTTCGACGCCCAGGCTAACAACTGCCTCACTTTTACTTTTGGCCACTGCCATCGCAATCTCAACCACTTTGAGACCTATGAGGCCTGCATGCTGGCTTGCATGAGTGGGCCTCTGGCCACGTGCAGCCTGCCCGCCCTGCAGGGGCCCTGCAAAGCCTACGTACCTCGCTGGGCCTACAACAGCCAGACGGGCTTATGCCAGTCCTTCGTCTACGGCGGCTGCGAGGGCAACGGCAACAACTTCGAAAGCCGTGAGGCCTGCGAGGAGTCGTGTCCGTTCCCACGGGGCAACCAGCACTGCCGGGCCTGCAAGCCACGGCAGAAACTCGTCACCAGCTTCTGCCGAAGTGATTTTGTCATCCTGGGCAGGGTCTCGGAGCTGACTGAGGAGCCCGACTCGGGCCGCGCCCTGGTGACCGTGGATGAGGTCCTAAAAGATGAGAAGATGGGCCTCAAGTTTCTGGGCCGGGAGCCGCTGGAAGTCACGCTGCTTCACGTAGACTGGGCCTGCCCTTGCCCCAACGTGACAGTGGGTGAGACCCCGCTCATCATCATGGGGGAGGTGGAGAATGGCATGGCCATTCTGAGAACCGACAGTTTCGTGGGCGCGTCGAGCACACGGCGGGTCAGGAAGCTTCGTGAGGTCGTGCACAAGAAAACCTGCGACGTCCTGAAGGATTTCCTGGGCTTGCGCTGAGTCTGGCCCGTCTACCCTGACCCTTCTCCACCCACCCACCCCCTGCCCTCAGTCAGCCAATGGGGGAGATCAGGTTAGGCAACCGTGGCCAGCGGAGCAAGCTCAGCTAGCATGTGGGAAGAAATCCACCATAGGTCTTAAAAAACGATCTCTAGTCTTTGGGTTCGACAGAAGGTCCATATTTTTTTTAGCTGGGAGAGAGGTTGGCTGGGGAAGAAAAGACACGTGTAAGTTATTTCCCATGAGCGGGCCCTTGAAGTGGTCTCACCCACCTTTGCTGACCCATGTCCCTCTGGCCAGTCTCCTAGCCAGGGTCAGAGAGGGCATCTACACTGTTAAAAGGTTTAGCTTGCATAGGGGGTGTATGGGGAGAGAGCAGAGAGTTCAAGGGTTGCTTAAGACGACTTCCCCACTGCCTGCTGCATTACTGTAATCAGAGACCGCCTCCCATTAAGGGTTATGAACCATTGGAAGCCACTGTCCAACCCAGGATATAACTTTATCGTAATGGAGGCCGCAGGAATGGCTGCCTTTGATGGAGTCAGTTTGTGTCCCTGAGGTCACCACACCAGCCAAAGCCCTGTTTTCCCTCCTCAGTTGCACTGGTTTGTTGGGTTGCTTCTGTTCCTTTCAGCTCAGTTCAGTGGGCACTTCCTGGGTGCCAGGTGCTAGGACCATAGAGAGTGGCCCTGCTCCCCTGGCAGAGCCAAACCCGCCAAGTCCTCATCCCCCAGGAGCCAGTGGGTGATTGGCAGCAGTCAGCCACTACCATCTGATGGACGGTATGCTTTTATAGACCATGGACTTCCTTGGAGAAGTCCCAGGATCTGTTTTGGTAGCAAGGGAAATAAGGAAGACAAAAGGCAGGAGGGGCAGGGGACAGGCCAGGAATCAGAGCTGAGGCGGGCCCAGGGAGAAGGAATATTGCTCGATGCTGCCATCTGGTGGTGAATTTGGATGTCTACAGGCATCAGGAGGGAGGGACTATCTAGGCGGGGGTCTGGGAGGAGCCTTTGGAGATGGCAGCTCTGAGATCGCTTGCTTCTCCTGGTCCCAGGCACACAGGCACTGGGTAGAGGATTTGGAACCCCTCGGTCATCTCTGCATCTCTCCTGTTCCCTCTTCAGCCCTTCATTCTGTCCACATCCCTCCAAAGGAGTCATTGTGGGATGCCCTAATGTCTTTTTCAAATATAAGGAGGGCGATACTAAATAAAAATTCATAGTGATATTGTTCTACATGCATGGCTCTTTTGAGAAGGCAAGAAAGGGCCGGCAATCACATCATTGGTCCTGGTGACCTTTTAGGAGGGAAGTCTGGTCGACGGGACCATATTTGGGTGGTGGGGGGGACACTGTAGATTTTCAGGTCCCCTATGAGGCTCTTTAACTGTGGTGCTCAGTGGAATAAGCAGGAGGAAACAGAGACAAGAAGGCAGAGTGACTTGTTCATAGTGAGAGGAAGAGAGTCCCAGGGCCCTGATGTACGGTCTAAGTGCTCCGTAGAGGACGGTGGGGCAGCAGGGCCATAGACCCTGCCTCTGATGCTGCGGAGTCTAAGTGAGAAGGTGGGAGAGGCAAGAGCAGGGGAGGCCGCTGCTCAGTTGTGACTTCTAGACTTCAGGATGAGGCTGGTGTCCAGTGTCCTCGGGGAGCCTG